GGTGAGTTGAAACACTGTGGGGGGCGGCCCCCCCAGCCATGCCCCGCTCTGTGCCCCCAGATGTGGACGAGTCCCAGCTCTTCCAGTCCAACCCCCAGACCCGGCTTTGCCTCCACGACTGCATCAACCTCCCCGGCTCCTACCGCTGCCTCTGTCCCCCCGGCTACCTGCTCCACGCTGACCGCAACACCTGTGAGGGTAAGAGCAGTGGGTGGAGGGCATGGAGCATCCTGCCGGACCACGGATGCAGCAGGGACACCAGGCTCACCCCCTGTCACCACCCTGCAGACGTGAATGAGTGCGCCGGGAAGCAGCACAACTGCACCCAGGGTGACCTCTGCATCAACACCTTCGGGGGCCACCGTTGCGTGCACCCCAAGTGTCCCCTGCCACGCCACAACACTAGCTACGTCAAGACCTCCGCCTTGTGAGTACCACATGTGGCTTGGGCTGCATCATGCTCACTCCCCCAGGTGATGGGTCCTGCGGTGCCCTGTATCGTGTCACCCAGGGGCAGCAGGGAGAGTGCCAGCCAGCACTGGTAGCAAATTGCCATGTGGGGTGCCCGGGTGCATTCGGCATGCTCCCCGATGGGCTCGGGATGCCAGTGGCTGGGGGTGCTGGTAGGAGCACCAAAGCATGGAGGCTTTATTCAGGACCCCCCCAGAGCCCCAGCTTGGGGGGAACGACACCATTTCCCCTCCACTGCACATCCACGAGGTGCCATCGGCTGCCATCGAGCAGGCAAAGCCCTCCTGGTCCTGCTCTTGAGACTAAACTGCTTTGTGCCTGAGCACAAGCCACCCAAGTAGAGGAGCATCCCCACCTGGACAAGTTCCTCTGCGGGAGACACACCTGAGCCTGGCTCCATCCCTGGCCTCAGAGCATGACCCAGAGCTGCGTCCCTGCAAGACACGGTGTTTGCTGGGCAAAGGCAGGGGTGGGACAGAGATCCGATGCCAGGCACACTAGGATGTGGCGGTCTTGGGTTGCCCTGCCGCAGGACCGGCAGTGGGGCTGGAGACGCTGCCTGCAGGCTAGGCTTGTTTGTGAGGATGCAGGCAGCTCCCTGAGAACCAAACCATGGCACTGAGCGGTGGAACCCCTTCTTTCCTGGCAGCCAGTGCGAGAGGAACCCCTGCCCCATGGAGAACCGAGCCTGCCGCCTGCCCCCCCCCCCCCCCTCCCCCCCCCTGCCGCTGCAGGCCAACCGCACTGTGCCGCACGTCCTCTTCAAGATGTCCACCACCCGCTTTGTGGGAGACAGCCTGCGCTTCGCCATCATGGGCAGCCGGGGCCAGGGTGTCTTTGCCGTGCGGCGCTCTGGCCGGCAGACGGGAGAGCTGGTGCTCACCAGCCCTGTGGCAGGGCCAGCCAGGCTGCAGGTGGAGCTGGAGATGAGCGAGTTCGCCCACAAGGTCCTCCTGGGCAAGCATATCTTCAAGGTCACAGCGTTTGTGTCCCCATATGAGTTTTGACCCCCTTTGGAGGTGGGTGTGGGACCAAGCCAGGGTCTCTCCTGGGGAGTGATGGAGCGCATTCAGCTCAGTGGTCCCAGTTCTTATCCCATCGGAGCCATCTCTCTCCCTTAACGCTTGCTCATGGCTGGTAGGGCAAAGCCACCGCAGCAGTAATGGTGCCCGTCGCAAAGGCTGCAAGGAAAACCCTGTGGGCAATTTGGGGACCAGCCTGGGGGTGCCTGCCACTGCCAGCACCCCTCCCCTCTGCCCACACGGCACGTGGAGTCGTGTGGCAGAGCAAGCTGACAGCACGTGGCATGTGGGGATGGCTCCTTGTGTCTCGTAACCTCTAATAAAAGAAAAGTGGCTGTAGGAAGGGTGTGCTCCTTGCTCCATGCCTGCTGCGTGGGAGCAGCCCCATGCTCCTGGGGCAATGTTCCCAGGGAGAGCCGGGGGCTGTGGTCACAGCAGGGTCCCCTTGCAGAGCATGGGGTGCCAGTAGAGCTGTCAAGCCCCCCCCCCGGATCATGCAGTGTCCATGTCCCTCCCAGCATCGTTGTTCCCAGGGGCCACGATGAAGAGCCCCCCCCAGTGCTGGGAGATGGGCTGAACATGCTGCCCTGCATGTCCTGCACAGCCGAGGCTTGTCCCCAGCCCCTTTGGTGGGTGCCAGGAAAACACAGCGGGGCTCCCTGGCACCCTGTGAGCAGGGGATGGCAACCGGGGGCCATGCTTCTTTGAGGCCGGGAGACTTGCTTCTGCAACAGCTCTGACATGAGCTGACCGCACAGGTGATCAAAGCTGCAGCTCCGCAGCTTGCTGAGCACTCGAGCTGTTCCCGTGCTCCTGACCCGAGGAGGGTGGGCAAAAGAGGCGCAGCCCCCGCTGCTCCTTGGGCACGGCCAGACCCCTACGCAGGGAGAGCCTCCAGCAGCCGGAGGTTGAAAAGGTGATGAGGGCCTTTGGGGACAGCAAGCAGAGGACATGCTGCCCCCGCAACACCCTTCCCTCCGCACACAGAAGCCTTCTTAGGTGAGCGTCCGGCCGGCCCGTGCCAGTGCCCCTTGCACAAAGCAGCCGCTGTGTGCAGGCAGCAGGCGGCTCATAAAGATGTCCTTATGCGCCCGCTGCCGGCACTGCCACCGGCCCGGCTTGCCAACAGCTCGGCACGGCTGCGGAGGGGGAGCAGCCTCCCCGGGGGCAGCAGAGCTGCGGGCTGGGCTGGCAGGGCTGGCCATGCTGCCGTCATGAAAATCCACAGCTGGCCCGTGCTGACCGAGGATAGAGGCTGGGACGCAAAGGAGAGAATTGTGAGGGTAAATATTTATTCCTGCACATAGAATCATATAATCATTTGGGTTGGAAAAGCCCTTTAAGATCCCCAAGCCCAACCATTCCCCTAACCCTGCCATCCCACCACTAAACCCTGGCCCTAAGAACCTCATCTGCCCAGCTTTTAAATCTCCCCAGGGATGGGGACTCGACCCCTTTGGCCCCTGGGAGCAGAGCCTGCCCCCCCCAGCTCCCCCCTCCTCTCGGGCAGCTGTAGGCAGCGATAAGGTCTCCCCTCAGCCTCGTCTCCTCCAGGCTCAACACCCACAGCTCCCCCAGCCGCTCCTCAGCAGCCTGGGGCTCCACACCCCTCCCCACCTTCCTTGCCCTTCTCTGGACACGCTCCAGCCCCTCCAGGTCCTTCTGGGAGTCAGGGGCCCAACACTGAACCCAGCATTTGAGGCACCCCAGCCAAACTGGGCACCCCGAATGTGGTTTCGCACAGGTTTCTTCGAGCCTTTGGGTACAATACGATTTGACGAATCACTGTCACCCTCGCTGCCCATTATTAATCACAGTAAAACTTTGCAAAGCAACGCTATTTCTGCAGCGTTCTCGCTGCTTGTCAAATGATCCAGGCGTCCCTGGAGTCAGTCTTGCCAGAGTTACTGATCTATGATGCCAGATGATGCCGGGAGGGTTTCAAAGCTGTGTCAAGGGGGGGTGGGATGCTGGCATCCTTTATCTTTCTTGCAACGCTTCCACAAAGCAAAGTCCTTATTTCCAGGGCCGGGCTGTCCTTTAGTTTGTTTTATCGAAGTATGAACAATACCAAAGCCTCCGGTAAAATTCCACTACATTACAGCTCTCTGTATAACGTGAACTAATATACATATGTTAACAAAGTTAATGCATTTTCACGCTATAAAGACTGGTTGAGATAATAATTAGGGAAGGGAATTTTCCTCACAGCTTCTGGGGAGCAGGATGGTTGGCTCCTGCTTGCAACCACCCTTCCACCACCTTGCTCCCCAGCCCTGGCCACCTGGAATTTTTTGGGTGTTTTCCTAAAAAGGCAGCTAGCGTTACCACAAACACTTTGCAGCAGGCTTTGGGGTGGGGAGTGAGGGGGATGAAGGGGAAGCACAGGCCAAGGGGTCATTTGAAGGCTGGGGTGTGTGGTAGCCAGGTTTTGGGGCATGAAGCCCTCACTAGGCCTGCAATCTCCGGGTTTGGGGCCCAGCGAGGGCCCCACACCCAGGCTTATGTGGAGCGACGCCTGGCTC